TTTGAGGGTTAATTAGATGACATTGCGTCCTTCATGCAAAACTCATCCATGGTTTCCTTTTAGTTGAAAATCATTGATTTATCTTGAATAGGAAGCGAGATGAACATGGTAGAAAGGGGTGAATGATGATTTAGTTTCCTTAATATAGGCATACATTGATTTTGAGATATCTGAAGGGGAGTTTGAATGAACAAGAGCATTGTATGAGGGACTCCTAAACCGTACAAAGCACTTGAAAGTGTGGATCAGTCATGCAAGATTTGAGGCATCTGCTATGGAGGAGAATAATGGGGGTTCGCATATGTTGGAAAATGGTGTCCAGGAAAATCATCTTAAGCAGAAAGAAGAATGCATTCAACGGGCAAGAAGTGAGTCATGATTTTCCTAAACCCTCCACATTTTTATTATTTACAGTTCTTTGTATATATGAGAGTGTTGTAGTTCTATTACTATCAGAACAAACACTCAATGTTCTATTCTTAATCAGGAGTTTTTGAGGGCGCAATTAGCTACTACGTACCGTACATCTGCACCTGAATTGAAGGAGGAACGTGCTATGCTCCTGGAAGAAGAGTGGTTGAACATGGAAAAGCAGTTTTGGGGAGCATGGTGATGTCAGTATAGTCCACTCTAAGTTGCCAAAGAAACTCAAAAAGAGGAGGGCATGCAGATAACAAGTGATGATGGTGTGGTTGCCTAAGCAACCTACTTGCTTTCTATTTATTCTTGTCAATTGATTTTTGTTGTTTTAGCGCCATCAGTAGCTTTGATTGTGTTCTGGAGTCAATTTAGTTATAACTAGGGTCTGGGTCTTCATGAGCACTTAAAAAATCGTCGTTCTTTATGGTGCTACTTTTTGAACTTTCTTGGAAGAATTAATCGAGCAATTTCTAAATGAACCTAAGCAATTTATTTGTTCAACAGGTACGAAGGGTACATTGACTACATGTTTCCTGAAGAAACCCAGACCACAAATCTCAAGATATATCTTGAATGCTGCTTACAAATGGAAGAGGCAGAGAACTGTATGTTGAGAGTGATTAGCATATCATGCTAGTCGATACTATAAAAGATGTGTTTCATCTCATGTATTACATCAGATCCATTGTCAAAACTGATATTTACACACTAAAATGAATATTTAACCACTCTGTCAGTTCTTCCTGCTTGCCATTTTAACTTTTACACCCAAACAAAATTTTGATTTCCCTTTTCTGCAAACTTTCATTGAGATGTCTCCAAATCTACAGTTATGCTAATATACTGTAGCGTTTGCGCTTTACAGGGCTTCTAGTGATGCGATTTTAAAATGTACATTGAAGGGGTTCCATTTTTATCCCTTTTTTTTTTTTTTTTTTGTTTTTGGGTACATGCTACAGGAGTGAGAAAACTTTTGGCTCCATTGGATTTACCTGGACAGGGAGGAAAGTTCATATTTCATGCCAAACAAGCCCTTGGTTTCAAATCTCATTTGTATATATTTATTCTCTCCTCTCCGTTCGGTAACAATAAACATACAATATACACTTGCATTTGGGCCGGAATCCCAATGAAGTTAGGTTACGTATAACCTTACGTATATGTCAATGGTTTGAATCTAATTCATGTGAATTTGTTTTTTAAAAAAATGTACGATATACACTTTATAATTTAGAATTAGTTTTAAAATAATACTTCTTTTATATGAAAATAATTTAGATATACACTTTAACTTTATAACTATTTCTTAATTTTAGTTATTAATATCATATCATAAAAAATTTTATTTTTATTTTTTTTAAAGAATAAAATAAATAAAAATAAAAATTGTCATCAAATCTTTAATCTCAAAATAAAAGTAAAAAACATGTATTATTCTAGAACAAAAGAAGTACATCTAATGATGTGCTAAATAAGAAATAAGAGATAAGAGATGATAACTCTCTTTTTCCCTCATATACCTCTTAGTTCAAATATGAAATACCTAAGTTAAAATTTAAAACTTCTAAAAAATATTTAGTTTGAAAGGATTAGACAGAAATAATAATTTTTTTAATTAATAAATTATAATATTATCAAATATTACAATTTAATTAATAAAAAAATCCTTAACTCTTTCTTCCTTTTTTTCTTTATTTTTTTGACAAAAGTAATGGTTAGAAAGTTAATTTGAGTTAGTTGTTAGCAATTGAGGACTCGATCCCTAGAACGGGTGAACATTCCACCCCTCAAATGAGGCGCGTGACCATTGGGTCGCATTTGATGGAGTTTAGGACGGTGATAGAGTTCGAAACTCCGACTACCTTCACCTAAGCACTTAAAACTAGGGGTCAAACCATTTGGCCTAAAGCTCATATTCCTCTTTCTTCCTCCCTATTTCTATTAAACCAAATATACTCTTCTTCCTCCCTATTTCTATTAAACCAAATATACTCTTAATTAGTTGAAATTCTCCTTAGGTTAAACCCCCTTTTTGGTCCCTCAACTATCGTACGGACCCCCGATTAAGTCCCTCAACTCAAAAAATCCCTGACTTGGTCCCTACTGTTTACCATTTTAACCCCGACTTGGTCCCTCCGTTAAAAATCGCATGACGTGTCA